CTGAGACCCCCACTCTGCTCCCGGACCCCCACTCCACTCCGGAGACCGGCGGCTCAGCCTCGGAGGGGCGTGGATGGGGCTCTCCGGCCGACTTGGAAGGCGACACCGTCCGTGGCTTCATCCAAAATGGGCTCCCAGGGCACAAAAGGACCAGGCCAGGGCCTTGGCGGACTGCGAGGCCCAGATGCTGGGCACCAGCGACACGACTCGAGGTGCAGGCCGCGGTGACTAAGCGTGAGCTCTGACAGGGAGGTGGCGCCTGGTCTGGGGGCCGGCGCTGCTGGAAGATGCGTGGGGCGCTCTGGGGTGGCTGCAACTGCCCCCCGGCACACTGGCCTTGCATCGTTTAACCTCTTGGACCTTTGTATTTTGAGCCATGCGCACGGAGATTACTTATTCAGTGAGCTAAATTAAAACTGCAAATGCCTCGTGAAACGTGCGCCGGGATTTTAAAGCCCCCGCGCCCCCACCTCGAGGGCCCCCGCCCCCCTACCTTGCCAGTGCCTGGACCTTCGTGCCGTGCCGCTCCTCCTGCTCGGCCACCTTCCTCTTCAGGGAGTCCACCTCTTGCCGGAGGGCAGCTGAGTGCTCCATCTCGCCGTCCAGCAGACTCCGCAGCGACCTGAGGAGAAAGGGGCCACCTCGTTCGGGGGTCGTCAGCCCCGAGCCCCGTTGTTTCGCCAAGTGAATCCCTGCCCGTGCGTCTCCCGCACGGCTCTGCACGGACCGTAAGGCGAATGTCGCTCCCGGGGACTGGCGCAAGGAAGGCCCAAACTGTCAGAAATCTCAGTGCCATTAGGATCAGCCCCGGGGGAGCCATCTGCCCCGCGCGTGTCCCTGACAGTCTGTGGGCGACGAGGTGGGCGAACTGCAGGCGCGTCCGGGTGACACCGCCCCAAGTGTGCAGACCCCAACCAGAGGATGCGGTCACAGCCCCACAGCCGGAAGCGGCTCCAGACTGATGTCTACTCTGGTTTCCACTCCACGCCCAAGCCCCAGACCGCCTCGGCCCCCTCGGGCTCCGCGGCCTGAGAGCGGCGGCCACGCCTTACAGTGCCCGCGGAGCCTGCTGCCTTCCAAACACGCTCGCTCCCGGCCCGTCCGGGTCTTACCGCGCATGCTGTCCTGCAGGCAGCGGCTCTTCCAGAAACACAAGAGCGCATTTCTTGGTCTGTTTGTTTTTTACTCACTAGAAGTAAGTTAAACATGGTTCCGCGGACCATTCGCCTCTCTGCACTAGATGGGCTATTTCTAGAAAACAATCGACACCCTCAATCTGGAGGACGCTTATCACCGTGTGACATCAGAGCACCCTGTTCCCGGCACTCTCCAGACCCCTGCTCCTTGCGGGTTTTGAGGACTCTCCCTTCTGGGGGCCTGGGGCCCCCAGGCACATGGCCTTCTTTCCTCCTCTGGGAAAAAGGAGAGGTTGACGGTCACCCCCTTCACAGGGGCCATGGCCTCCCCTAAGAGCGCCGCTCTGGCCGGGAGGAGGAAGCGGTGCCACCGGGCCCGAAGTCCTGGCTGGAGGTTTTGGTCAGAAAACTGTGCTGTCTACAGAGTCCTTTTTTAAAAAAATTCTCCTTTGTTTTGGTGCTCATGCTTGTTTGCTCTCATGTTTCCATAAAGGATGCGGGAGAAAACACTCAAGCAGGGCCCCAAGGAACGTTTAAAGCAGAAGGCCATGTCGCCAGGCTGCGGGCCTGGGCGCACCCTGCCCCGCTCTTTCTTCCACACACGCGTGACACACGCGTGACACACGTGCACAGCCTGACCCCGGGAGCGCACACACGCACCTGCAGACGCTCAGCAGACGCTTGCAGGCAAGCCCTCACGAGCACCCCGCAGCCCGGCCAGCCTCTGCCCTCCCACCAGCTCCAACTGGGTTTGGGGAGTCAAACGCCAAACCCCAATGCCGCTTGCTTTAAGTAGCCCTGATCTGAGAACGCTCAGACACGTTCCAGGCACTGGAACATGGTTCCTCACACCGCAACCGGTGAGGACGCAGCACTGCAAGCCGGCCGCAGCCACTTCAGTGCGAGTTCGATCCCTGCCTGCCCCGGAGGTGACCCCCAGGGCGCAGCAGACCCCTCCTGACCCGCCCGCTGCTCCCCTCAGCAGTGGACTTCGTCATTCTGCCTGTTCTGCTCCCCGCTCTGTCTCTGGGGAATCCTCTCACCGCCCTGCACGTCTGGCCTGTACCCCAGTTCTGTATGAATAAATAAACCTTTAAAAAAAAAAAGGTCCCTCACAGGCCACGCCAGCGGCAACACCAGGCCTCTTGGGGACAGGTGGACACACCCCGACGGCAGTGCTGACTGCTGAGTCTGCGGTACTGCGAGGTCACAGGACGTCCGCGCTAGGCCGTTCCTAACAGAGTTAAAGGGCGCACGCTTCACCCCATCCTCAGCGTGTTCTCGGGGTGCCACAATCAGAAAGGGCTGAACCCGCAACTCACACACTGACCTGCCACCGGTCACCGTGGCCCCCGTGGCAAAGCCCCCCACCCCGCGGGCCTGGGCGGCCACGGCCTGAGCACCGCCGTACCTGTTCTCTTCCTCCAGCTCGTCTTTCCTGCTCATCATGGCCACGATGGCTTGGCGCAGCTCGTCTACGGGAAAGAGTCACAGTCAATCAGCAGAGCCCGCGGGCGCCCGGCGCCTCACGGCTCCGGTGGCGCGTCGTGGGGCGACCGGCCCTTTCCAAGCCCGTCCCCACACGGTCTACGGGGGCGCCTCACAAGGCCCACAAGATGGGGGCGGGGGCAGGACAAGAGTGGACATTTCCAGGCTGGCGATTTCGGAGCGCTTGTCCTCGGCTCTGCCACAGCCCACATCTCCTCTGACCCGCGAGGGCGCCCCGTGACAGCCGTTCGCCAGCAGCTCACACTGCACCCTAAGTGGCATCCGGCCCCACACTGACCCGGGAATGTGGACTCGACACTGCCCCAGGGACTTCTGCGGTAAGAGGCGACGCCAAGCAGGGCTGAGCCTCTCCAGCCCGTGCCCCAAACTGCTCCCAGGGGCTCGTCACGGGAGGGAGCCGTCCACGGACACAGAGCCACGTGTATGGTGAAATAAGCAGTCGAGTTCCCACGCACATCAAGACGTGGCCTCTGGCTCACACGCAAAGGCCCGAGGCGGCGAAAGGCGGTCATGCACGAAAAGCGGGTGCCGGGGAGGCAGAATCTACTAGATGCGAGTCTGCAGGGCCAGGACCTGGTGGGGAGCCACAGTACATGCCCCCCACACCCTGTGGACTTGACGGTAACGCTACTGGCCCCACTTGGGCACTTTGTGGACCCGGTCTCGTTGATGCCACAGAACAAGCCCCGGGAAGCGACCTCCAGTCTGTCGCAAACAGGCCTGCAGAGAGTAAAGGCAAAGGCTGAGCTGGAGCAGAACCCGTATCTGCCCGATTCCAAACTCCGCACTGAACCCGGGGAACAGCAGTTGCCAGCAATTCCATGCAGGGATGATGAAGCAGCACAGCCCCAGTGAGGGCCGGGCCGGGGAAGACACATCCCGCGTGGACTCTGTCCAGAAACAAGGCCCCGAGGCTGCTGGACGACATGGGCCCAGGTAATGAGGCCACAGTCACCCACGATCCTTTCAACTTCGCTCAAGTGTTTAAAAAAAAAAAAACAAACCATATGGGCCCTCCCTGGTGGCGCAGCGGGTTAAAGCACAGCACTAAGAAACTTAGGCCACTTCCGCATGAGTTCGATCCCCGCCTGCCCCGGAGGTGACCACATGGCGCGGCAGACCTCTCCTGACCCGCCCGCTGCTCCCCTCAGCAGTGTACTTCGTCGATCTGCCTGTTCTGCTCCCCACTCTGTCTCTGGTGAAGCCTCTCGCCCTCCGCATCTCTGGCCTATACCCCAGTTCTGTATGAATAAATAAATAAATCTTAAAAAAAAAAAACCATAGGCAGAAAAATGACTTCCATTAAATATATTAGCACAAATCAGAAATGAGGGCAGGGCTGGGGAGAGGAGAAAAAAGAAGGCAGAAGCCCATGGCAGGGTGAACCGTTCTACAGCGATAGCCAGGGCCGGTAGCCCTGGGGAGAGGAGCCAGCTCGTGAAGCCACGAAGCACGCCACGGCGGCCACCAGCTGGGCCACGCTCTCCTGGAGGGGCAGGGCTCACCCACGCGCTCACCCACGCGCTCACCCACGCGCTCACCCACGCGCTCACCCACCCATAGCCGTCTGCAGAGCACCCACGGGGTGCAAGGCACCTTCCAGGGAGAGAACAGACCACAACTAACCTCGGGAAGGAATGTCCTTCAAGGAGCTTTTCTCCACAGAGGCCAGTGCGGTGTCACCAATGCCCGTGACGGGGCCGGGACTGTCCCTTCTAAACGCGCCTGGTCACTGGCATCCTGGCTGGTGGCCGCAGGCCCACGCCTCGGCTCCTCCGAGTGGCGCTCACCCACTTGCGCCTCCCTGGGGCGCTGCATGGCTCGGAGGAGAGAGCAGCCGGGATGGTGTGTGCAAGCCCGCAGGGATCGCGTGGCAGCGTGGAGGGCGCAGCGCTGAAAATGCCCACTGAAGAAACCCCTGTGATGTGCCGTGACACCACAGTAACGGGGAAGCAGGGTGAATGCCCGTGGCGCCCAGCGGGGGCGAGGGGGCCGCGTGCGCGGGGCACGCTCGGGCGACCCCTTCACCCCCACCCATGTGGCTCTGACTGCCCCATGAGTCCTTCCCCACGGGCCATTCACTCCCGCAACAGGAGACGGGAAACCTTTCAGACATCAGTGTTTGGAGTTTGTTTCGCCGCAGAACTGAGAGCAAAGGCCGCATCTCCCGACGGGCCGGGGAGGCCGTGCACAGTCTCCCTGCTACCCAGGGCCCAGGCGTCCGCTCCTCTCTGTGGAGGATCCACGCTGACAGCGTGGCCACGCAACTGCGGCCTGCGTCGGACCAGACGGGTCTCCACGTCGCAGAGTCCTACACAGCAAGTTTCGCTGCCTTTAAAAACCCCGGCGCTCCCCCTGGCCAGGCATCCTGGTGAAATCTCCCAACCCTGGTGAAATCTCCTCTTCATCAAAAGGAATGACCATTCTCTGAGCTGCTGCTGACGGCCACCCAACACTCAGGCGTCAGTAAGGAGCCCCCCGCTGGGGCTAAGCTGGCTGAGTGCACAGGTGGGGGACCACCCCCCCGGGGTGCACCAGGCCACGGCGGCAGACAGCGGGGTCTGGTTCTGCAGCCTCTGACCCGAGGCCTCCTTGGGAAGCTCCCAAGCGATCCTGCGAGCCCCATTCTGCCCAGCCCTGAAGTGGGGGGCCTCCCTCGGCGCTGGCAACCGCCATCTTACTCTCTTCTCAGGCGTACCCGGATCACACACCTAGGGCCCTGGGCTCAGATCCAGACTCCGCGGCTGGGTAATGTTGGGGGAAGTCACCGACCGCTCTAGGTTCCTTTATTGCCGGAACAGGGGCACAGTCGCTGTCTCACTAAGTGTCAAGCAGACTCTACAGGGTCACGTGGCAGTGAGGAGCTTAAACAGCACCCACTCCACTCTCGTGGGAAGCATTCAACAACTGCAACTGTCCTTTCCCGTCAATGAAGAGGAGCTGACAGGAAGCAGTGGTGCCTCACGGTGGCCCGAGGTCCCAGGAGATGTATGAGGCACAAGAGCCGGTCGTGCTTGACCTCGGCCACAGGCTGGCCTGGGGGAGGGGCAAACTGCACAGCAGAAGGTGACATGCAAGCAGTGGTGGGTGATGGGTGCCCCCCGCCCCGATGACCCGGCCCTGCCCTCACCCATCCACCCCTGCACACCCTGTGCCTCGCCAGCGTCCAGGCTCCTGCACTGCCACATCAAAATGGCAGAGGCTGCCCAGGCCATGGGGGTTTGACACAGAATCTTTATAAAAGTTCATGGCAGAAAAGTGACGTCAGTACGGCGGTGGCATGGGACAAACCTCTTCACCACCAGGGTCAGAGGTAGAAGTGGGATGACCCCCACCCTCCATGTCACAGAAGGGGCCCCTCCCTACTGGGCTTGGGGCAAAGACACTGTCACCGGGGAGGCCAGTGAATGCTCCCCACAGGGGAACGGCTGTAGCGGTCCTTTTAGTCTGTGTTCACCCCTACAGCTTGGACGAGGCAGCCAGAGCCCAGAAAAGAAATACTGTGCCCAAAAAGGAAATCAATCACAGAGAGAAGGGCTGCCTGGCTGTCTGCACTGCAGGCTACACCGGGGTGGGGGCCAGAGCGGGCACTCCTGCCTCCCCCAGAAAAGCTCTCCCTACGGGCTTTAACTGTACAGGCGCCCACCTCCCTGCCACGCTGGCGCTCGGAGTCCTCCTGGGCAGGGAGGCCGGGGGCGCCCTCGGGGCTGATGGCTCACGGAAATAGTGCGTTTCTCCAAGCCCCGGTGACAGCAGCGGACGCACCCCTAACGTGTCGTCTCCCCTCCTTCCCCAGCTCTGCACAGCCTATTATTTGTTAGTGTCTATCACTGTGGCTTCTTCTTTATTACCTGCACAGCACACAGTGCAAGTGGCAGGGGCACGAGTCGCTGCAGCTTCGGGGGGGAGGGGGAGCGGGGCGCCCTCCCCGGAGGCCAGAAAGCCAAGGGCCCCGGCCCCAGCCAGCCAGCTCCACTTTGGCTTCTGGGCCTGAACAGCCGGCCCAGTCACGCACACAGGACAGTGTCGCCTTTAGCTGTAAGAAACGCCTCTGGGGCCGAGGGAAGAAGCATTTCGCGGGAAGGCTGGACGCGTCTGTAGGTGCGGCCGGGGAAGGAAGCGTCCTGGAGCAAGAAGTGAGACTTCAATCCCTGCTTCTGCTGTGGGGCACCGAGTTTCAGATGGGACCGTTGACGCAGGTCAAGTGTGGCCGTGAAGACTGTAAGGGCGAGTTTATGTCATCTGGAGGCAACGAGGCCTTTCTTAAGGTGAAACCAAGGAAACATAAAGAAATGACAGCTTTGCTTTATTTTGTGCATGGAGAGCAAATCTACCAGAAAACCGGCCCCCTGTTTGTGAAAACTAAGTTCTTCAGGGCAGCAAACAGGCCGAGTGAAAAGAGCAGTCTTCTCAGCAAATCGACAGTCAGACCCGGGCCCCCAGGCGCGGCTCGGGAGCGCGTGACGAGGCACCCGATCCCTCAGCACCCCCAGCGGGGTGCACACTGCCAATATCGCCAACCTGGACCCGCAGGGCAGGGTGGCAGGCCGTCTGGATGCAGCCAGGCACGTCCCCTTCCCACGACGGCGGAGCAAGCTGCTCCCAGGGGCCCGGGAAGTCGCCACCTGTGCCTGTCCGCGGGAGGCTGCGGAGCCCTGCTCCACCGCCCACCCCGCAGGGCTGCGGGGGGCTCCCTGGGCTTGGGTGCCTGGCCCACGGGGCAGCTGTGCCCATCAGTGGCTCCCTGGCGGTCCCCCTGCAGGAGACCAGGCATTGCACTTAACAGGCACAGAACGGTCATGGAGAACCTGCCTCGTGCCGTGGGCCCCCCTCGGCTCCGCCCCGGTCCCTCTGCCTGGCCCTGCCCAGCCCCCAGCCCTGGACCTTCCTCTTCTCCCGCTCTGGTTCCCCCGAGGCTGCTACTTCTACACCCTGGGCCCCAGCACACCACCCAGCCCCTGGGACT